CCGTGCCAGGAAACACGCCCATTCGTCTTTGAGAAGACATTTCGGGGGACTCCAGCTCCACCTCCCTGGCTGACACCCCTGAACTTCGCATGGATTTTATTGGGGTGTCCAGGGGTGGAGTCCTGAAGAGCCCGGCAGTGAGGCAAAGACACACACCACGTCACACGTACGTGGGAGTTGGGGAATCAGGGAAGAAACGGAAATTCGGGGGAAAAGGCTTAGCACTGAAATCAGCCAAACACATAAATGAAATAAACTGAACGTGGAGATATATTAATGGCAAACGTGGGACGGCGGTGGCAGTTAGGGTTAGGGTTAGCAGCACGCCGGTAACAGGTGAGGATTCTAAGGAAGATGACAGGAGGGGGCTCAGGGGCCACACGAGGGGGTCCAGCACCCAGAGCTCGGGAGGGCCTGCGGCGTCCGCATGGGGAGTTTGTTTCCCGATTTCACAGGAATTGTGGCCGCGGCGTGAGAAGGTGGAACTGGCCAGGCAGACCCTGTCACAGCGGAGCTTGTAGACACAACGTTTTTCTCCTTCCATGTCATTTACACGTGACGGTCACAGATGTGGAGGACCTGTCCCCAACTCAGCACTTGGCTGCAGGCTGGGCACACGCTGTGTAGGGACCCACCGTCTAGCTGAGAATATTGATCTGGGCTTAACAACCACTGCTCCAGGTTAAAAAGACTGAATGGCTCTAATTATTTTTACTCTTCAATATGGGACAAGCCAGCCCCACTCTGTTGCAGGTTTGTGAGTTTTTTCTAATTGTCCTATTTGTCTCCTTGAACACAGGCACAAAAGAGCTGCAGGGACCTGGCCTGTCCACATTCTTAGGGAAATACTACCATGCTTCCCCGAAAATAACACAGGCTCTTATATTTATTTTTCCCCAAGAAGACACCCTGGGGCTTATTTTCAGGGGATGTGTTATTTTTTTTAAGTACAGTGCAACCATCTACATTTATTCAGATACAGTTAGGTCGTCTTCTTCTGGAACATCATCATAGTAAAATGGCAGCCACAGCTTTCCTTCTCCCCCCTGGGGACACACAACACCTAAAGCGGAACGTCCCACTCCTCACTTAATTGAGGAGACTTTCCCACAAAGCCTCAGCTTGCAGCACGCACAGGATGGCTGGGACCTGACAGGGGGAGCCGGCCTTGGTGGTGGGGCTGCCGGCACCTTTCCGGTCACCTCTGGGACAGTAGCTATCACGATGGGGCAGATGAGAAGGGCTGCTCGGCTTCTTTCCCGCTCCGCGACGACATGCACGGGTTGTGCAGACGCGCTGCGTAGCCACGCCCGTCACTAGGGCTTATTTTCGGGGTAGGGCTTCTATTGCACAAATACTTAGAAATCCTGCCAAGGCTTATTGTATGGGTAGGTCTTATTTTCAGGGAAACACGGTAGTTATTAAATTACTTGCTGCTACAACACTATTGAACTGGATTGAACTAAGTGGTGGCTGTGAATGATTCCACAAATACATGGTGAGATGACTCACCGTAGTGGGAAAAACAGATTCTGAGACAAAAACCTAAGTTTAAAAGGTTTTGCTTACATGGATTGCTTTTCCACTGCTCTCATCAACGTTAAAAGTGTGCCCATCCCCCAGACAGCGTACACCGTGTGTCTCAGGTGTGATTTCACCTCTCCCCCCTCCGCCTCCCCTCCCGTCTGCACGCCCGCCGTTGAGTTTTGCTCCCATCTGTGCACACAAGTGCTGATGGATCGGTTCCAACTTCATAGTGAGTACACGTGGTGTTTCTTTCTCCATTCTTTAGATATTTCACTTAGTAGACGGGTCTCCAGTTCCATCAAGATTGTTGCAAAAGGTACTAATTCTATATTTTTATGGCTGAGTAGTGCCCATGGGGTACCAGTGGGCGAGCTGGTCGCCAGGGCCGGGCAGCAGGTGTCGTGGGGAGCGTGGAGCAGGTGTGGGGTCAGACCAGGGCTTCACGGTGAGACTCCCAGGCAGGCCTGGCTCCCGGGCCTCCCGGCCTCTGGGGAGGAGAACTGCAGCTTCAGAAGACCAATGTGCCGACACAGTTTCCTTCTCCAGACAGGTGAGTTTGGCTTCACGGCCCCACTTCCATCACCCCGGCCCCCAGATGGGCCCACCAGCTCACGGACACCAGACACACCTGGCTCCTGTTCCCCAAACCACCCCATTTCCACGTTCAGACACGGTACGTGTGGCCGCCTTGGCCTGTTTATCCCTCTGCAGGTAAAAAAGAGTTTCTTTCTGAATTGATCGTAAAAACCCTTTCCTGAATTTTATCTGTTGGCCAATCTTACTCTCTGGTCTTTCTTTACTGCACTCATTTGCATCCACAAAATCTTTTAAAAATGCACCAAAAGAGCGGAGAATGTTCACAAAAATTACAGAGACAGAAATGCATTCGGGCAAACGTTCTCTCAATAATTATTAGTCAGTCGACCACACGGTTTACAGTGTTGCAGAAGTAATTAACACGCCCCGAGCAACAAGGAATCGATTTGTTTCTCCCTGGTGGAATTGCACTTTGAATGCGCTGCAGCACTCAGCTTCTGCAAGGCTTGTCAGATCCACAATTATAACGCTGGATCTATGCCAGGAAATACTTCAGTCCAATTTAATCATAATATTTGTTTTGAAATGCTCTAAAATCTCAGGAAGAATTACCATTTTTTTCAGAGACCTGCATAGCTCGTTCACTTTTCCTGCTAGCCTTGGCTATAACTAAAACTATTCTTATAAACTAAAACTTTTCTTATAAAACTGAAATTATTTGATGTTGCCAAGAAAAACAATACTGAGCAGGTCCTGAACTCTTGAGTTTTCTGTTGACCTGCGAACACTGATGGTTTCCTTAGGAAGCGTCCCTACTACCTCTCGGCTGAGGACCACAGCTGTGCTCACCTGCTCAGTTCCCGATAAAATACGATCCTGTCGGCTGCGAGCTAAAGGCAGATTTTGTAGCCTGACTCAAAAAGCTGAAAAATGTATCATCGAGGTGACTCCCAAACGTCCTCCGGTGAGAAGGAATCTTTATGCAAATGCAAATTTCATGGTAGATCGAAAACCTGCCTTCCCTCCGAACTCATTCGCAGTTGTCAGGGAAATTCACTTTCCGTATAGAGAAACTTTGCCACAAAACGTCACCTCCTATAACATCCGTCCAGGGTCTGAGTGGTTCTAGGGATGCACGTTGTGAACTAAAACAAAATCTCAGCCCCCGGCTGACTGCATGGGACCCCTCTTGGCCAAGGGGACCCCAGAAATGCCCTGAAGCTGAGTTGCTGCCATGAGGAGGGAGGTCAGATGCCCCCTCCCTTCCTGGAGCTGTCCCTTGTGACTCGTCACCGGGCCGAGGCCACGCAGGACAGAGCTTGAACCACACCGGCAGTAAATGTCCAGTGTGGCTTGTCTCTGATGAACAGAATGCCTGTCTTAACCTAAAACATTCCAAGCCTTTAGACAAATCTTCATTTTTTAAAACCAATTATAAACATAAATCAACACATCTTTAAACCCACCTATCACCTGTACTCCCCCTGATACGAGACGCCCTCCCTTTTCAGGCCACACCAGTGTCCACCTTCCACGTGTTGACTTATGACTTTTCCTGTAACCCCCGCCTCCCTGAAATTATAAAACCCAACTGCGACCCACCCACGGACAGTTCCTTTGCTCACAGCTTCCTGGGTGGAGCTCCGGGTCGTGGCTGCACATACTCGGCTCAGAATAAACCACTTCAAGTTATTGCACAGAGTTCGGGTCCTTTTCCGCTGGCAGCATCCCTGACTGCCCTTTGACCTCAGCGCCTCCAGGCCCACGGAGTGGGAGGGGGGGAGCTCTGCGACCAGGACCCGGGTGCCGCCTGTGTCCGCAGTGCACGCTGTGTGCACACTGGGCTGATGGCTTGGGCAAAATCAGGGGAAATGAGCAAGGAAGCTTTGAGGGAACGTGTGAGCTCATTCCCCACTCGGACCCCAAACCTGCGTATTTCCGGCAGACGGTGGAGAGAGACACGTGGCTCAGCACCAAGCCTGGGGCGGCTTCTGTGGCACCTGCCCTTGCTCTCAGCCTGGGGTACACGAGGCCACTAGTCTACACAAGGACACTAGGCCACGCCCTCTTCTCCAGCCCCCACTCTTCAATTCAGGCCTCAGGGACACAGGTGATCCCCCCTCCCCCCCGTGCACATCAGGCAGACATCCTGGCATCTGTCCTCACTTAGATGATGTGGGGGAAGGGTCCCCAGCTCCACGAACCCAGAGCTGTCTGGGGAGGGGCCGCCAGAGCAGGGCGGGGCAGGGCGGGGCAGGGGACCGGCCACAGGACTCCAGAATCCATCAGTGGTGAGGCAGGAAGATGCCATTTAACCAAATCCGAGTGATGGAAAACAGTCTGCCCAGTACTGGGATACACGGCCGGAAGCCCCACCCTCACGCTCCGATTTTACCTGTATGAACAGCAACCTCCCTGTCAACTGAGGCATCATTCCCACAGCCAACCTGCCCCTGGAGACCAAGGAGGCAATGCCGGGGACCGAGCCCTGGGGGGGGGTGGCCTCTCAGCCCAGGCTGCACCTGCTCTGGGGAGGGGGAGGGCGTGGAATCTGCTCCAGCCCCACCCCCTCTCTCCGGGGCTTTTGCATGGGGGGCTTCAGTGACACCCCTGATGCCCCCACCTGTGTTCAATCCTCCCCAGTTCCCTGACACACCCCGGGAAACACAGTGCGCCAGCCCTGAGCCGTCAGCGGCTTTGGCCGACGACCCGATTACCACGCGGTGAGTGGGAATGTCTCCCGCGGGCTCGAGGGCTCAGCAGAGGGGACAAGGCGGCGTCGGGCCAGGGAGGAGCAGCCCGGAAACGGGATTCGGCCAGGAAGGTGCAAGGGCAGCTTCCATCATGAGCAAAGACGTCCGCGAATTGTTATCGCTGTGACCAACCTGGAGCATGCCGATGGCTGTAACGGCACTCGGTCGCCGCGGCTACTTTACCTGCGTGGCCTTCGAGGATCCGGGATATGACGACGGGCACGCCGTGCTCGGCACCTCCCTGGAAGACAGCGCGGGGGAGAGGGACGGTTATCTCCACGTGTGCTGGAAAACTCCGTCCGCGAAAAGCAGGAGCAGAGAGAAGCACTCTCCTACCTTTACGCTCAGGCCCAGGCCGCCCACAGGCCGTCTGCGAAGCGTGGCAGTTCTGCGCTTTAAAAAGTGTCAGAAAACAAACCGAGTTCAGGTTAAAATGCATTGTCAGAAAATGAATGCGAAACGATTTCAACCTAGGTGATTGTTGAATTGTGCTCCCAAAGCGAGACTGCGCAGGTACCGCAGGAGCGGGCAGGGCAATGCACGCAGGGGGGACAGAGACAAAGTCCTGTTCCAGGCAGAGTCCCCACAGCTGCCACCTCTACCTGCCCGGGAGGCGGAGCCCCCACCGGGCAGGCCGTGCCACGGCGTCCACGGACATGGATGAACCACGGCACACGCTCGTCCCTTCCCGCCAACCACAGACCCGGCGCCCTCTTCTCCACGTCCCTGCCGGGGCCGATCCCGCCTGGGGCGATCTTCAAGTAACTGGTCTCAGGTCACGGATCACTGATTCCGTCGTGGGCTCCGGCAGTAGCACCCTGGGATGTGTAAATGCAGGTGGCGACACAAGCTACACCCGTGACGTGCGCTAACTGGCTGCTGAAGTGGTCACAATCTCCACACGCCTCGTGCATTAGATGGTGCGTGTCTGCCGCGCTGAGGCCCCGCCTGACTGAGGTGGCTGCCGCCAACCGCACGCAGGTGAGGTGGCGGGCACCCACGCTGAGATGTGGGAGGGGCCAGGGAGGGACGCACGGGGAGCAGAGGGGCGCTGGCCCCAGAGAGACACGGCGGGGAAAGAAAAGAGACGGGCCTGGGTTGCAAGGGAGCAGGTGAGCGTTTCAGACCGCAGCGGCTCCGAGCGGAGCCCCGTTTGCAAAGCAAGGACAGAAGAGGGGACCAAAGGCGCCACACGCTGAGGGGCCGGGCCGCGGGGGCATCAAGGCTCCCGTCCCTCAAATGGGGCTCACTCCCACCAGCAACGCAGGTGCGGCAGCGGGAGCCGCTGGGAAACCTGCCTTGGTGCCTGCTCTGCTCCACACCCTGTAAAACCCCTTGGTGGTCTTCTCTTAGGAATGGACATAAATGCAAAGAAACTAGAAATCAGAGCATATATAGTTGGTTTAAAGTATTATACAGGACCGCATCCAATAACATTATGATGGGACATTTTACTATTTAGAGCTTTTTTACAGCTATGTCATATTTAACTGGTAAAATATTTTTACAATTGCACGCATAAAAAGGGCTGTATTCCAGGGACTTTAGCTTCAGAGCAATGAGCTTGACATTCTCCTTGTCCCAGGCTGTGCTCCTGGGTCCGAGGGGCAGACGGGTGGCAGAGTCACACGGGCTCCCATGGAGCCTGTGCCTGGGACCCCGTTACAACCACAGTCCCGGGATTCAGGAAATGCCAGGGAATGCCAGGAAATGCCCGGCCACTTCCCATCCACATGGGGCCAAAGGACGGTGGCGGCCCACGGGATTTTAACGTGTGTCATCGCAGCACTGTTGACAATGGCAAGATGTGGACTCAACCCAAGCGTCGTCCACAGGAGAGTGGGTAAGAGACGTGGTTCCGTGTACAATGGAAAACCGAGCAACCTCTGGAGCAAAGGGGACCCCGCCGTCCGGTGACACAGGGGACCTGGGGACGTCGTGCCGCGTGGAGTGAGCCGGGTGCAGAAGCTGGGCATGCCGCATGGTCTCACGCCCCTGTGGGATGGATCCAAGCCAGTCAGACTCACAGACGGGGATCCAGGCTCTGAGGCCGCAGCACAGGTGGAAGGTGCGTGGGGTCAGGTAGGACGGGCAGGTCCCTGCTGTTACGTGCAGGACAACTACCATTAACCGTCAGGTGGCGGGAGGCACAAAGGGGAGGTCAAGAGGCCCCAGGGCAGCCACACACCCCACCACCCTGGGCAGGGAGGCTGCAGCGTCTCGATGGCCAGGAACTGAGGCTGGTACATTACTGACACTGAGTGGATGCCTGACACACTGCACTCACCTGTGACAGGTGTGTGACTGACCTGCACGGCCCGACCTCACCACAGTGCTCCCTACGTTCCCTACGGCTGCTCCCACCAGGGGCTGTGGACAGTCGAAACGCCCCATTGCCCATCAGCGGACCCCTCCTGCGGGGGAGAGGACCCCCGTGGCGTCTGGGTAGCAGCTGCTGTCCCTTCCTCCCCGTGAGCTTCCCGCCCATTTGCTGCCACTCCACTTCCCTCCAGCCTGAAGCCAAGAACTCCTTGGTGAGTTCAGGGGCTCCCTCCCCTCACCGGGCACCCCTGCACCCCCAGGGCTGTCTGTGCACTTGGGGTTTGCCGCAGGGTGTGAGGTTACCTGTGCACACCGCACACACACACGAGAGTACATACGTGACATGGTGTGAACCCTGGATTGTGGTCATTGTCGCCCAAGGCCATGGACCTCAGCAGGTGCCTTGTTCACCTCAAGTGTGCATAGCGCTTATCTGTCCATCACACCCGACAAAGCCGGGTGAAATAAATCCCTTGTGGGGACAGGACATGTCCGAGAGTGTCCCCTGTGAGGAGAGAGAGGGAGAGACCCCTGCCCGGGAGACGCCCACCTTGCTCCCCAGCCACCCAAAAAACTCCGGTTCCAGGTGAGCAGGCGACTCACCAGTGTGAACTGGCAAGAAGGCGAGGGCGGGGGCAGTTCACCCAGTAAACCCGAGTCCCTGCAGCGTCCCGGGCACAGGGGACCCGGGGCAGGAACCCGCCTGCCCACGGTCCTTCCTGCCGCACAGAACACACCTCACGCTCGGAAGAGAACTTTCCAGAGCAACCGATGAGGAAATCGAATTATCCACAAGTAACCACCGTCATATCCACTGGGGGCTCGCTACATGGAACTCTGAAAATGCTCGGTAGAGTTCGATTTTAAATTTCAGCCACTAATTTAGGCATCTGAACCTCAAGAGGGCAGGTGCGTATCAGAGAAAACATGCTTCGGGAAGGTATAAGTTGGTTTCTGCCTCAGCAGACTTTGCCAAATAATGACATTTTAAAGCTGTCATTTCATTCCCGTATAGATCTCAGGAAGATATCCTGAAATATCCCGAAATATCCTTGACATTTCAAAGGAAATATCAAGAAACAGATCACCTGTGGCAAAGTGAATTAATGTGCTCCAGAAATCTGGACGGATATTCTTAATAGGATGAGCAAGAAAAAAGTTTACATCATTACCATCTTTAATATTTGTTTAAGAGAACTCGGAGAACCTATTATCCATTGTTACGGCTTAGCCAGAATAATACTTATCTAAATATCTGCTCTATGCAATCTGGTAAAACATGCCTTTTTGCCCAAACTTGGGCCACTCATTTAAATTTCTGTAAAATTGAGTCTGTGCATCTGGAAAATGAGCACATAATATAACATGCATACTAGGTGGGAAGTTAGCGTGCACTGAGCTGTGTGTGCCTCTAACATCCATGTTGAAGCCTAAACCCCCGAGGTGACTGCACTCCGACACGGGGCCTCAGGAGGTGACAGAGTCTCCGTGAGGTCAGGAAGGTGGAGTCCTGACGCCACACGGCAGGTGTCCTTGAAAGCAGAAGACACCAGCGCTCTCTCTCCCCGCCCCTCTGTCTCGGTCCCTCTCTCCCTGATACATGACAACACACCGGGGAGGCCACCCCCTGCAAGCCAGGCGTCGGGCCCTCGTCCGGAACAACCCAGCCCCCACCTTGGTCCGGGACCCCCGGCCCCCAGAGCTGTGGGGAGGCCGTGTCTGGGGCCCCCTGACGACTGTGAGAGACGTCGAGGAAGATGATGGAGAAACTGCGTTGTAAACCAGGGTCCCCGACCTGTGGTGACTTGCACTACGGTTTCATGACACCACGTTATGATGTAACCACGATAGATACAAAGTCACAACACACGGTTTCATGACACCACGTTACAATGTAACCATGATAGATACACAGTTCACAACACACGGTTTCATGACACCACGTTACGATGTAACCATAATAGATACAAAGTTCACAACACACGGTTTCATGACACCACATTACGATGTAACCATGAATAGATACAAAGTACACAACACACGTGATGCGCTAGAATCATCCAGAAACATCCTCTCTCTCTGCAGCCCATGCAAAAATTGTCTCCCATGGAAACGGTCCTGGTGCCAGCCAAAAAGGTTGGGGACCCCTTTTGGGAGCCATCAGGTTTCATAAAGACACCAGCGTTTAGTCTCCTGGACAGAAAGTTGCTCTTCTGAACCAGGCCCTTTCGGCACAACCGCAGCGAGCTCCTAGGCTGAGCGAGAGGGCCCCGCCCACCCTCACTGACATCCGCTTTGCAAACGGACGTCAAGCCGTCACTAAGGCCCTCACGTGATTTTAACCTCAGCACGTCTAAGAGCTTTGATTTTAAAAACAAGATTTGTATGATTAGTGGGTGATGAAAATCAACTGGGAAACAAAACCTCTCTGGAGGTTTAGTTAAAACTCGTGCGGCGCGGTGGCTCACGCTGTAATCCCAGCACTCTGGGAGGCCGAGGCAGGCGGATTGCTCGAGGTCAGGAGTTCGAAACCAGCCCAAGTGAGACCCCGTCTCTACCAAAAATAGAAAGAAATTAATTGACCAACTAAAAATATATATAGAAAAAATGAGCCGGCACGGTGGCGCATGCCTGTAGTCCCAGCTACTCGGGAGGCTGAGGCAGGAGGATCACTTGAGCCCAGGAGATTGAAGTTGCTGTGAGCTAGGCTGACGCCACGGCACTCACTCTAGCCTGGATGACAGAGTAAGACTCTGTCTCAAAAAAAAATAAATAAATAAACAAATAAAAAAATAAAACTGCTCCCACTGCAGCCAGCCGAGGCTCTCCTCCTCCTGTATCCAGATTTTTATGGTCCCACAGGCTGATCATTTCAGCTGCAGGTCTGGGAAGCGTTTCCCGCGGTGAGTAGCTATCTAGCTGACAGCCGTCTAGACAGAAACTGCGGTCACCGAGAGGCATTTCTGATTCAGTCCAAACACCCCTTACTGCATCCACTTATCCACACGCACGGCACCGCTTGGCGTCAGCTACCTCCAAGACCGTGCTGGGCGCTGAACCGACAGGAGCCTCGACTATAGAATTGTCTGCGGCCGCCGGCTCCCCGTTCAGAAGCGTTTCCCCCCATAAACACGTCTGTTTCCCTTTCCGCACTCAGGGGCCTCGCTTGCCGATCAAAAGAACAAATGCAGAACGCAATCGAAATGCATAACAAAACCTGCAGAATTGAGCCTGGAACGTAAGATAATTGTTCAATGAATCCTTTTCCATTTCAATCCAGCTCTTTCTTCTGCAGATGTACGAGATAAGGTCTTTCAGAAAATATTCCCCTGCCTT